TGCATGCACCTTTTATGCGGTGTGACGTGCGTTTATGGCGTGCATGAAAAGCAGAATGCAAGAAGTGGATCACACCTGACTTATAAAGTTCAAACAGAAATATCAGTTTAATTATGTGTAAAAAAAATATTCCAAAAAGTCAAGTGAAGTAATTATTTTTTAATTGGGTGAAAAGCAATTAAATTATCAAAAAAATGTTTTATCATCAACAAGTGCAGTTCAGATTTTAAATACAATTTTTTTTGTTAGTTCAACTGCAAGTAAAGAAACTTGGAATTGAGCATCAGTGCCATTGATATAACTTTCACTAGTTTTCTCTGGCAACTTCAGGGATTAAATTTAATTTAAAATATAAACTGAAAATTTTGCTAAAAATGTAATTTACTTAAATTTTTTATTGTTAAACAAATTAATGTTAGAATTGGGATTCTGAATTTTTAATACAAATTCAAATTATCATGAATAGCAAAGTATAGTTGAAAAAAATGATAATTTAATCTTTACATTTTAAACTAAATTTACAAATACATAAAATATTTGGTTGTTGATCCTAAATTTATTGAATTTTTCAGCTTTGCTTTTACCAATTTCCATAAAAGTGTCAGACGAGTTTTTATTTTGTACGACAAAATGGAGCAGAACTTGTTTTTGTCTGAAGCCCTGTGGCCCCCGAGGAGCATTCATCAGAATAAATAATTCGGGGCAAACGTGTGGGCGAATTCGTGAATGAAATAAAGTGCCCTCGCCAAGGTGCAGCTGCCGTCGCGCTAGGAAATAAAGGGGCTGTTTCCACCCCTGCTGCAGCGGGACCAAATTGGTCGTCTCCTTCTTCCTATTTTTGGGTGTTTTAAGAGGCTTTCGGTGTTGCACATGTCGCTCCCGCACAATTCCACGTGCCGCGCAGACTGCCGTATGATATGAGATGTGCGTATATAAAACGCAGCACGCGGTGCTTTATTATTATTAAATGAGGGGGAGTTTTTCCCTAAATCCGAGCAGCAGGAAGACGAGTGCGCAGTGTTTTGGGCCTGCCACGTTTTCACGTGCTTGTCATTCATTCCGCCGTTTATTTTTTCTGCCTGATTGTTGTCTTTTTAAATGGCTCGAGTGCTTAATGATGTCATATTTTGCTCAGAAAGAGAGAGACTGTGTTTTTATTTCTTCAAAAGAGCGACACAGCTTTTTACAAGTCCTCTCTGAGCTTTTTGTGCGCAAGATCCTCTTATATTTTCTGCTGGTTTGAAATTCGCCTATGCCAGTGTGCTTTTCTCTGCCAATTTCTTGGAGAAAAAAATATATAAACCACCCTGTCAATCCAAACTGGCAAATCTCTTGTGACATTTGTGGTCGGACACAGCTTTAGTAAACGTACTGCAAATAAGACTTGAAGAATAAGACTGAAAATGAGAAAAAGTCATTAATTTTTTTCAGAAGATTTAAAAATTCGTGAAATTTTAAACAAAAATTGTTCCTTAACAGTATTAAAAAGTTGGCTACATCTTAAATTTAATAGAGATGCAAGTTTTACTTACTTTGGTTTTATTAATTATTTCTAACATTTTATATTCAAGATTTTTGCTAATTTCTAGAGCCAGTTGTTTTTGAAAATAATTTTAAAATTTAATTTGCCATTATAGTGCTCAGTATATTGGAGAAAAAGTCTTTTTTTAACTCATTTGTCAATGGATCATAACAATTGTCTGTCATTATGAAGCTAAAAAATATGTGAGACTAAAACACCTATTTTATGAACACTAAAGTAGACTTCTTTGAGAGATAAACCCTTAATAAATAATTATAAAATTGTGGACTACTTTGAGACTTTTTTTAGTTTTATTTTTAGTTTTTTCCTAGTACAATAAGATTTTATTTAAAGATTATTCTGTCTTCTGGCATAATAAAATTTAGAAAAAATTAAAACTTCCTAATTTTATTTTACTGCATTTGAAAATAATCTCTTTGAGACACTTAAAAACAATGAATTTTTCAGCTAAAAATCCCCGTTATAAAATATTCTACTAACACCATAAAATTGGTATGTTTTGCCTTTCACCAATATTTGAGGCATTGCAAATAATATCAAGAAAATATTTACGCTGTCCAAAACCTCGATCTCTTGGCAGCGGGATTTGTGCTCGTCTTCTTCCCGCTCAATCTAGGCTACTTGGCCGCAAACAAAAAACAATTTTTGCATCATACACAGCCGAGCGCGATGGAGCTTTTGGCCCGCTAGCCCCATTATTGTTATTTTGCGCATCTCAAGTCCACCCGCCGGGCGCCAGCGTTGCGCGGGCCGGCCTAACCACTCAGGAGCTAGCCCGTCTCCAGTCTCCATCCGGCCGAGTGCATATTTCGTTCCTTTTTACGATGTCACATGAGTGTGTATATTTTCAAGTAAAGAGCTAACTCGATCCATCATTCACAACAAGTAGCTTTATTGCGCCTTTATGCAGCCCCTTTATGGACTGGCCGGCGCATAAAATTATTGTTACACCGCTCGTCTGGAGTGCATTTTTCGTGCAATAAAACGCGCATGATTGCTATGTGGAATAACAAAAAAAAAATTACGGCCGGTCTGATTTGCTCTTTTACAACCGCGATTCGCTGTTTCGCCTCCATTCCTCTTCTCCTGTCGATAAAAAAATCTGAAAAGCTGTTTGCTCGGTGCAATTTAATGGGCGGTATAAATGTATTTAACGAGTGGGGAAAAGATAAAAATAATTTTTTTTTGAATGAATGAACTATTTAAATAAATGTTCATTTGCATAAGTGAGCTATAATATGATTTTTTATTGTTTATCCCTCTTAGGAAAATGCTATGATTATTTTTTTAAATATATTAAGCAGGTCTATAAAATATTAAATTATAAAACAAACAGTGAACTTAAATATTAAAGAAATCAATTTCTAATATTTTTATTTTATAATGTTGGCAAAATCAGGCAAAATATTTTTGTTTTTGAACTTTTCCTAATAATAATTCAACTGCTTTTAAAACAAACTTCTAAAGTTTAATGCATGCCTTTTTTATATGTTCATTAAATTTAAACAATTACAGAATGGCTTGCAATTTTTTTATTTTAATTTATGATCGACAAAATAATAGGTAGTTGTGGAATCCCAGGTCGAACCTCACCAGCACTTTTTGCCGTACTAAAGACACGAAAATCTGCTAACTTTAGCACAAAAGATACCCACGATCTATTCAAACAATAGTTCAAGTAGTGCCAAAAGGCGTCGAGGTGAGTAATCTGAGCGACAAATCAGCCGCGAGTGGGTTCTCTACGAGCTGCTCGGCCGTGAAAAGTACCGAATTTTCGTGTCATACACCGAGCCATGTTTTCCTGCTTTTTTTAACCGGACCACTCTTAGTTGGAGTAACAAATGCCCGGCGCTGAGCGGTGACATTGAAGAATCTTTTCTTCGTGTGTTTATTCATTTCCTCTGTCGGGCAGTGAATAAGTAGCGCTTCCTCGGAAAATGATTTAAGGTCTCTGTGGCGAGAGAGAGAAATAACTATGCTCCTCTTTTTCCGCACGGAAAAAATGCAACGCCGCCTTATGAATTTAAATGCACTGGATGATAAATCTCTTCTCATTTCACACAAGACACGCATTTTTATGCAGCAGATTATGTGCGGCGAGATGTGGATAAGGGAGGGTGCGGAAGGCGCATAAATTTCAGGGACCAGATAATTATATCACCCTTCGCTTTAAATTATATCCTAAAATTTTTTTTAATTGAAGACTTTATAATTTTTGTATATTTAAAATTAAACTTTGTTAAAAATTGTGATAATCTTAAGCACCTTCTTTCTCCTCATTTTTAAAAATCGAAATAATTTTGCAGAAGAATTTGTTTTGATGGGATTTAATTCGTTTGGTTTTGCCAACACTACATTTGTTTGGAGCATTTGCTATTTTAAATTAATAGCATGATATCTATGAGTAATCATTTAAATAAAACCTGGCCAGTTTGAGGAGATTTGCGAATCTTGGCTACAAGTTGCTTTGAATCCTAGTTTCAACCACAAAACATATAAAACAACAGAAATTTCCAATTTATGGATTTTTTTTCCATCTGTAATCTAACTTGAGACAATTTATTTACTTCTTATTTAAATTCTTTTAAAAAAAAATTTAATATATTTATTTATTTATTTAAAATAAGATTATAAAAAATTATATTAGATTATAAATTTTAATGACACTAAGTAAAATTTAAAACTAAAATCTATAACTAACAGTCGGCAACCCTTATTTTGAAACTTCGACGGAAGACATTATTAGAAATTCCAAGGACGCCCAGCTGAATTTTGGCATTCCACATATTATTATTATAGGGAGCAGCCACGTGCCGGCAATTCATTATTCTAGGGGAAGCATAGGTTTAATTAAATTTCGCCTGCTTCTCTCTCTCCTCGCACGCGCGATTCTCAGGATATGGATGCTGGCGGATAATTATTTTTTGGCACTGCCGTCTTCTTTGTGTTCTCACCCCCAGATGGATTTGTCAGAAATTGCGGCGGAGGATCAGTCGTACATACACACGCTAGTCAGTCAAACTGCAGAAAGCAGGCTAGCGCCGAGGGGGTTCCCTTTTCTTTCTCTCGTTCTCGCTTTTACACTGGCATAAAAACAAAAGGGGGCCTGCGCGCTTTATTGTTAAATGACATTTATTGCAAAGGACTTCTGGCTCTTCCAGCACTTTGCCAGATAAGCTCTGCAAAAAATCACACACACACTCAGATTCGCCGACTTTTTCGCAAACGCCAGAAGGGGACGAGAGAGCAGCAGATCGCCAAACAACTTCGACCCCCCCTTGATTAGCGAGACGCCGAGCAGGAAAAAACAAACCACTTTTGCAAAATTGAGTGCATATTCTGTCGGGGAAAAGAAATTGACGCTCCACCATTGCCAGGGGAGGTCACTTGTACAGTTGCTAAAAGGCTTTTACAAATAAATTGGGGCCACCCTTAACCTTACTCTTGAAGAGGGAAAAGAAATGTTATAAATATTTCTTTTTTTATTGAAAAAATTATTTTATCAATCTTGAGCCATCCATTGCGTAAGGAGTTGAACAACTTGTGCCCTTGCTGCTGTGAAGGCAGCGGGTTCATCAGGGGTCGCCGGACTTGTAATATCAACGCAATGCGACGCTCCTAGATTTTTTTTTAATTATAAAATTGCAAAATAATTTAATTGCAAATTTTTAACCTTCAATAATTATGAGCGGTGCGTCTGGATTCGGTTCCTCGCTCATTTGCACAGGGTTGAAGGGATCAAGCGAGCCGACGGTGTAAACAACCCTTGAAACGTTTGGTTTTTTACCTCCATACAATAAATTTGTCCTGGCTACCCCTGCTTCTAAACGCTCCCTTGTGAACCTACAAGATTGAAATGACAATTAACTAAAAAATTATAGCTTCTAATTATTACTCAGGGCCAAAAACGGAAGAGCAGAAATTAAGACGGAACTCTATCGGAACAACTTGACCAAAGGGTTGGTTTTCAGAAGAAACTGTTGTGAACCAGCCGAACTCCAGACACGATTGATACATAAATTGGCGTGCTGAGTAAAAAATATTTGAAAAAAAAGTTATTTTTAGATTTAATTTAAACTCAACTGATGTCAATTCTGTACTCGGTTTGGTTGCGGTAAGATTCCACCAGACGTGATGCATCAATTCTCAAAGGAATGTTGAAAATAGTCTGAAATAATGATTTTTTTTCAATTGGTTTCTACAAAACTTGCTAATTTACCTCTCGATAAACAGTGGCAAAAGCTTCCAATGGAGTTTGCTGACTGTCGGTGAGTCGAGAACAAACTTTTTCCAGAGAGCCCGGGAGAGACGCTTGCACCAAACTGCCATAAATTTGAGTCACCACAAAATATAAAAGAGTCACGTCGTCTTGAACTGATAGGTCGATTTCTTCTACCAAGCTTCATTGTTAGTTAGAGAAAAGTTGTAAAAAGCTAATTTTTCTACTTAAAAAGTTGGGTTATTGTAGCCGCCTCCCCATTTTGCACAAGTTTTTGCAAATCTCGCATTGCTGTTTCGATAACAAGCGAGCAGTTGGGATCCGTGTCCTGATAAGCCCGGCCAACAACTTCAAAATATTCTATAGAAAAGAACTTTATTATTATTTTTCTTTTGTGAATTACAATCGAAATTTCAACTCACCGGCGACTTCGACCTGGGCTTGAACCGGTGCCCCTGAAGAGTATGCAGCATGGTAAAGGTGAGGGTAGCGCGCTCTTGCCCACGCAGTCATATCACCGGTGAAAGATGCGCCGATTAAAATCCACTTTCCGTCCAGTCCAAAATCGTCCTTCATCTTCTGCGTGAAATAAGCCGTGTCTTCCAAAGCTTGTTCCATATTCAAATAAACCAAATTTTCCAACAACAGATCGCTGCGGAGGGAAAATAATTAAATTTAACAAATATTTGAAATTAATTTTTACGGGAAAGGTCTGCTTTGGCCGTAAAATCGGTAGTCCAGATAAATTGCATAAGCTCCAAAGTGGTCCACGAGCTGCTGGATGAACCCATTTTCTATGTGAACAGGGTTGGCCTCCCATTCTCCGCCGAGGACCAAAAAAATTGGTGCGCCACTCGTGTACGTAGCGTTTGTTACAAAGTACCTCTAAAATTATTGATTATTAATATTTTGATAAAAATTGTTATTTGCATGTTCAACCTGCTGCCACGTGCGCCCGTCCAAAATCTCAAAGTGGTCCAGTTTTTGAGTGAAAAATTCTTCTCTATAGGCGGTCCCATTGTACGCCTCCAATTCAGGGAAAATTTCTCTTCTAAATAATTTAAAAGGATTGAAATACTCCTGAGCTAATAAACTAGAGCTCAAGCAAATGATGAAAAATATTGTTAAGCGAGCCATGATGTCTCTAAACTGATTAAAATTATAATCTGACTGAAATTTAGGAATATCTTTTGCACGATATGGAAAAACCTAATCATTGTGAAGTAAACAACTTTATTATCATCGATCTCATTATCATAATAATGCTCATGACTTTTATATAATTTTTTTACACGTCAACAGCTAACCAAGCTGCAAGTGTTTCTATAACTTTTGTTCTAGCGTCAATAAAGGAATCAGGGTCGTCAGGTTTTGCTGGATTAGTCAAATCGTTGCAATGTGATCCACCTAATTAAATATGAATTTTAATTAATTATACAATATTATGAGAACTGAAACGAAAACCTTCAATAATGACTGTTGGAGCGTCGGCACTAACATCTGAACTTAGCATCGCAGGGTTGAAAGGGTCAATCGAGCCAACGGTGTAAATCACCCTGGTTACCTCAGGGTTTAACCCGCCGTACAACATATTTGTTCTTTCTATTCCTGCGTCCAAACGTTCTGATGTAAATCTATAAATGAATTGCCGTTAACACTAAAAAAAATTAATGATTCAATCGAAATTACTCGGGGCCATAGACGGAAGTGCAGAATTTCAGCAAAAAGAAAAGTGGCACGATGGGGCCAAAAGGTTGATTTGGAGAAAAGACGGAATTGAACCAACCAAATTCGGTGCATGCTTGGAACATCCACTGACGAACTAATTTTTTAAATTAATTTAGAGCAAATTTTCACCAAAATGATATACTTACTAAATGATCTTGTGTAATTGGTATTTTGGTATTTTTCCACAACCTTTGAAGCGTCCACACTCAGTGATGCATTATTTATGTGCTGGTAATGAAAGGCTAACTTTTAAAAAGTATTTTTACCAATTTTCCTTACATCATTGTACACTTGGGCGAAAGTTTGCAGTGGCGTGTCCTGACCAGCAATCAGGGCGCTGCATTTGGCCTCGAGGGTTCCAGGGTCAGCCCCTTGCACCATGAGGCCGTACACTTGACTCACGGTGTAGTACAACAAGTAAACGTCATCCGGCTCAAATAGGTTGATTGGCTCAGCCAAACTTTGAATCAAATGATTTTGCTCTTTAATTAAAAAAGAATAAATTCAAAAATAACTTACTTGAAAAGTGAAGTAATGGTTGCCGATTCTCCTCTCTGGACCAAATCCTTCAATTGTGACATTCCAGTCTGAATCACTAGAGGACAATTTGGATCCGTGTCTTCAAAAGCCTTGCCCATAACCTCAAAATATTCTTTTTTTAAATAATGAATAAATAATTAAAAATCATTTCGTTTATATTTAAAATTCAACCTGGTATGTCAATCACTGCCAGCACAGTTGCGCCTGAAGCGTACGCGGCGTGGTACAAATGGGGGTAGCGCGCCCTGGCCCAGGAAGCCATGACCGCCGAGTACGAAGCCCCAACCAAAATCCACTTGCCATCAAACCCTTGATTTTTTAATGTCTGCACAAAAACAGCAGTGTCTTCAAAAGCTTGCTCTAGGGTCAGATAGGACAAGCTTTCAAGAGTCAAATCTCTACAAAAATAAAATTAAACAAAGAAGTTTATAATATTTTTCAAAAGAAACTGGAATACACTTAACAACGCAAATACGACACAATTCTACACTAAAAATTACAAAACAAACACACATTCAAACTAAGAAATCAACAACATTTAATATTTTGTTTTCAGTTCATACGGGAGAGGTCGGCTTTGTCCATAGAATCGATGCTCCAGATAAATGGTATAGGCGCTCAAATTTGCCGCGAGTTGACCAAGGAATCCGTTTTCAATGACTGAAGGTCTCGCTTCCCATTCGCCACCCAACACTAGCAGTATTGGCGATCCACTTGTGTAATTTTGATTTGAAGAAAAATATCTCTACCCGCATATTAATATTACAATTTAGCCTTTTGTAAAAAATTAATTATACCTGTTGCCACGTCCGGTCGTCAAAGATATTCAATTGGTCTAGTTTTTGGGTTATGAACTTTTCCTCAAATGCTCTGCTCTCATGACTTTCAAATAAATCGCCGTGAATTAAATCAAAAGCGTTCAAATCGTGGCAAGTGCTCAGCTTAGCCAATAGTAGGAAAATAGCGACAAATTTCAGCCGTAGCATCTTGCCTATATTGAAATCTACTTGGCAAAGTCATTTTTTGTGCATATTTAACCATGGTCTGTTGCGTAATCTTTATCATTTAATTTTATCAATCGCCCCAGCTATTATCTTATTTTGGACAAACAATACGGCAGTCACATAGTGGACCATTTTCAGTCAATAGTGATTGACATCCTATCTCATTCCATCATGCCTGCCCTTTGGAAACTTTTTCTGCCACTGCTGTGTGTCAGTTTGGCCAAAGCTTCTGACGTGTTCGATTTTCTGCGTCCGACCATCTTCCCTAAAGTTTCAAACGACAAAAGTTTAGTTGAAGAATGGTATTTCACGCAGAAAGTTGATCACTTTAACATACTGGACGACCGGACATGGAGCCAAGTAAGATAATTTAATCGATTAATTACTAACTGTTCTTGATTTTTAAATTTTTCCTTAAAAGCGATTTTTCCTGTCAAACACAACGTACAATGCGAGCACCCCAGTACTTTTGGTCCTTGGTGGTGAATGGCAGATCGAGCCGGGTCACGTCAACAATGGATTTATCGCAGAATTGGCGGAGAGATTCGGGGCTTTCGTCATCTACTTGGAACACCGTTTCTACGGACAAAGCAAACCTGTTCCGTAATTAATAAAAATTTTCAGAATTTTTCATATTCAAAAATTAATACTTTAGTGACTTGTCTCTTGAAAATCTGGCCTTCTTGACGATGGACCAGGCCATGGAAGACACAGCATTCTTTGCTCAGTCGACGAAAATTCAAATGGGTCTCGACGGTCCGTGGATTTTGATCGGCGCCTCTTACACTGGAGACATGGCTGCGTGGGCCAGGGCTCGGTATCCGCATGTCTTCCACGCTGCATACGCATCAGGGGCGCCGGTGCTTGCAAAAGCTGGCTACGAAGGTTTAAAAAATAAAATAAATTCATTATACTTATTTATAACATATCGAACAGGAACATTTTGTAACATAATATTTATTTACCCATCTGTAATTTATTTATTAATTTATTTTCGTTTGTTTCATCAGAGTTATGTTATAAAAAATTTCAGAATATTTTGAGGTTGTCAACACAGCCCTTTTAATTGAAAACGCAAGTTGCCCTTCAGTAATCGAGGCCGCTATGAATGAGCTGCAAATTTTGATTGAAAATGGCCTAGCTGACAATATAACAACTCTGTTCAAGTATAATTTCCTTAATTTAAGTTTTCACCTCAAATTTTATTTTCCTCCAGTCTGGCTGAGAGAATTGATCTGGCAAATCTGAATGACTTGACATTCTTTCGCTTTCAAATCTCCGCTATTTTTGCCACTCTAGTCCAAATTGCAAGGCCAGGATCAAACGGCATTATCTGTGATACTCTTTTATCGGGTCAGGACAACCCACTGGATACATACTCTGGCCTTTTGAGATTAGTAAAAAAAAAAATATTATTTTATTTATTTTTTAAATTTTAATCTTGTAGTTAATGCAAGGCAACCCTTTGAACGTGAACACAACGAAAATAGTTGAGAAATACCGGGACCAAGTGGAATTTTCTGAAACAAGCTACAGTAATTTGATTTTTATTTTTTAAATTTTTATTTATCTTTACCAAAAAGCTCGCCAGTGGATTTACCATTGTTGCAATGAGTTTGGCTGGTTCAATCCCTTGTCATCGCCAAACCAACCTTTTGGCCAACAAGTGCCCCTCGACTTCATGCTGAAATTCTGCAGCTCCGTTTATGGGCCAGAGTAAAAATTCCTTACAAAATTTCAGAAAAAGACTGAATATTTTCCAAAGGTTTACCCCTGAGCGTTTAGAGGCTGGAACCGCTCGTACAAATTTGCTCTACGGTGGAAAAAATCCACAAGCTTCAAGGATTATTTACACAGTGGGCACCTTAGATCCCGTAAACCCTGTTCAAATGGATCAGGACATTAACCCAGAATCGCCTGTGATTTTCATTGAAGGCAATTTAAAAAATTGAATTTATCAAATTATAAACAAATTGAATTTTTTAGGAATGTCCCACTGCGTTGATGTGACTGACGCTTCAAAACCAAACGACCCTCAGTCTCTCATTGACGCTCGGCAGAGGATCTTCAACATTTTTGAATCGTGGCTGTGATTAAATTACTTGAATATGAATAAAGGCTGGAAGAAGAAATCAAATCCATTAATAAATTTTTTTAGGAAATGGAAAAAAAATCGACAGTATAAATTAATGCAGAATTTAGTGTTTGAAACTTGTAGAACATTGATACTTATTTCAGGGTAATTTAATGAATAGGAAATATGTTTAGCTAAAATCCGCCAAAAAAGTTAAATGTTGGATATAAAAAAAGACCATTTCACATCAAATATTTACCAAATTTTATTTCTCTTGATACTTTATTTGCCATCGTTTTCCCCACAATATTTGCTGCAAAAAGTTTAAAAATACTTTTTTTATTTGTATAATTAAATTAAATTAATATAGATAAAAGCTTCATTAATGTAACTTTTCCATTGAAATTGTGCTTAACATTTTTTTTATTATTAAAAATTAACAACAAAAATACAGAGGCTTAAAAAACGGAATTATTTGAGGCGAAAAAACAGACTTTTTCACAAAATATTCTCTCTTGCAGAGTAAAAAGAGATTTGTATGTATTTTGCTCGATTGATTTCGCATTACACGTTTTGTAAGGGACCTTGATCGGTTGACGACGTCCCGGAACAACGTCTATGGCACCTCAAGCTGCAAGTTCAAGTGAATTTTTTCGCCAGCCGTGTCTGTAATTTGCCTGATAATGAGCGTAAATGCACGCCAATAATGCTCTGTTGGGAGCAGCACTTGATCGGCAGCACGCGCGCCTTTTTTTATTTTTATACTTTTCTCGTTTTGCTCCCGAGGCGTTGTTTCTCTCGACGGCTGCTCCATGTTCTCCATGAGTAGGCTTGAGGAAGCCGACCGACCAGCACCTGCCGATTTACCTTTGCGGAACCGCGGAGTCAGCCAAGCCGTCACCTCTATTACTCCCGAGATCGGGACACAACATGCATGCAACAATAATAACCCGCGAACCCTCTCGGCGTACACATCCAGTTCAATAGCCCCAAACCAGAGCGCCACCTGAAATCTCCTACGATTATATTGCCTCTTTTGCAAAAAAGGAGACACAATCTGCCGCCAAATTGAGGAAGGAACCGATTTTAATTTAAACGGTGGCTTTTTAAATTATATTTTCATTATTTACTTAAGAACCCCGCCAGATTTTAGTTCTTCCTGTAGAAAATGCATAATTTTAATTTTTAGAAAACTTATGAATTAATTGATACAATACAATAAAATTAATATAACATCATTGCAATTTATTCATAATGAACTGTAGAGAATAATTATTTAATTAATAATGATATTACAAAATTGATCCTAACTATATTGTATTTTTTTATGTATAGTTATATGACCATCAAATTTATTTAATTTAAGTTAATAATATTATATAAATATTTATTTTATTTTACAATTTTATCTATTAAAACAAGTCTTAAATTAATAATAATTTTGAAAATTAAATCGTTTACGACAAAGGTCATGTGTAAATGAACTGAATAAATTATAAATTTGTGTCCCTTCCAAAAATCTTATAATAATTTTTTTACAATAAATTACTTAAACAAGATATTTAATATAATATTGAGATTTATTAAAATATTGACAGCAATTTAAATTTTTGAAATAACGTTGAAATAATGTCTTTGCTCTCTTGCAAATTTAAGAAGCTTGAAGAATGCTGAATTGTTGACGCTTCACTAAAGAACTAGATCAAGAAAATTTAATTAAAGATAAAAATTATTACTTTAATCATTATCCGATTAAAGACCATTTAATAAAAACATCGCAAATCAATAAAATGCCAATCAGGTATGTCTCAAGAATTTCCTTTCTAACGATCTTTCTCTTGATCGGCAATTATACGTGCGGAGATTAATTTCCCGCTGCTCCAATTTCGGCGCGACGATTGAGTGACTCGCCGGCTCACGGAGGTAAAAAATTATTCACAGGAATTTCCGTACGCATAACAATCAGTCCGGAGAAAGGCATTTCGAATGTGATTCACGCGACGAGAGCCGAATTAAAATAATTCATCAGGCAACGTCTCTTGATTCGTACCGAGAGTTTTCCTTTCGAATTCCAAAGCGTGCCAACGGGAAAAATAATATGAAATGAAAACAAGGTGTGAGATGAATTCCAGATTATTTGCCAGCGACCATCAAACGCATTTAAACTTGCATGCAGAGTGAGAGATGAAGGCTTGGATCCGCGATCGCTTGACACGACTTTGAATTAAAAGAATATTTATGTGCGCAGCGTGCGTGTGAGAAGGGAATATTCATATTAATTTGCTATTCATAATAAATATTGCTACTTGGATAGCACGCATAATCATTCAAGGCTGACGTAAAAAGATGTTAAATAAATTTTATATTTAGACGGATATTATTTTTATAATTTATTATAAAAATTAATTTGCCATTTGAAGGAAGTTAAGCTGATAAACTTATACAAGAGCAATAATTTAATAAAATATTTTTAAAATATATTTATTTTGTAAGCCTGATATTAAATTCATTTTTTCTTTTTGTTATAATATAAAATTGATATTCGAAACGGAAAAAAATATTAGTTAAAAATATGCACAACAATTATTAATAAAAACAGATAGTTCCAAAAAATTAAATAATATTATTTTGAAGTTAATTTTTACAATATCACATACAGTATGTATTAGTTGGTGCCCAAATTGATATATTGAGAACCACATTTATAAAAAAAAATACATTCTTATTAAATTTTTAATTACATTATATTTCATTCACATTTTATTTTAATTATTTATGCAATAAATATATTTTGGATTAATTGAAACGCAACACTGGCGGTGGAATTAATTAATCTGTTCAATTGATTTCAACAGGAATTTCAAAATGAATAATTGGCTGGACCAACGTACTAACTAACTCATTAAATAGTCCACTGAACCGAATTATGCAGATTTTCTTCATCTTAAACAGCCGCTTGCAATTTTATAGCCATTTAATACGCATTAAGGATGTTAGTTAATGCGAATAGTTCCGGTGGTTGGATAAAAAAATATACCATTATTTTTTATCTGTAGGCGCCACAGCCTTTTTAGTCCTACTCACGATTTTGGCAAATAACGCCCAAAAAAGAAGAGTAAAAAAGCGGCCAGCATGCACATAAAGCTGTGCTTTCCTCAATAAAACCTGCCCTCCGGCAGCCGCCAGCGCCGCGGGCAATTTTTTCCAGCCACCCTCCACCCCCGTCTGGACGGAATGGCGCCCCAGGGAGGAAAAAGTTCGCGCACGCAACAAACACACAGGCCTCTTTCGCTCGCCTTTTTGCCGGAATATTTGCACAGCGCGCCATTTGCGCTGATTAATTGTCTCTCTGGGTCTCTCGTGGCGACGGCAAACATAACAGGGTGCGTATCGTCGTCAAAAGTAGCTGCTGGGGCCGATCGAGGGGCGTCGATTCAATATAAATAATTTGAGGGGCCATCTGGTGCGGGGCGCCAAATCTCTGGAAAATTGGAAGTTTTTATCTGCATCTCTCTCGGAGAAGGGCCGCGAAAATAAATGGCCCGAATTTCTTTTCTGTAAGTGAAAGTGATGTTCTCCTTTGGGGTTGCGAGGGTTAAATAAAAATTTATTTGATTTGTCGGGAAATGGGGAAGGGAGACTCTGGTTACTGTAAAAAGGGTCCAGGAACATTCTCTTTTTAAAGAAAAAATTGCATTGCTTTGAAATAAGTTGTTTTCAGACAAAAAGGGGAAATTAAAAAATTAAATTTAAAATTTAAGCAACTCTATACAAATTTCAAAATTGCCTTAAAAAATAAAAATGATTTTTTCCGGCAAGTTTGTTTTACACAAAATTGTATAAATTAGCTCAAATTTAGAATAAAACTACTAAAAAGCCAAAAATCGTGTGTTCTTGCGTTTCTCAAAAATAGTTACATGAATATCGTGCAAAAGAAACAATTATTAATTATTAAGATAAAAAATATAGACAAATATTTACGTTTTTATACAGCACAATTTTTTTTAAATTATTTAGTTTAATTTAATCAAATATCAACATTCGCTTGAAACTGTTTTGAATTAAAGCGGTACTTTTTGATTGAAGAAGAAATTAAACCTAATCTTGATTTAGAATTGAATCCCAAGAGTATTTTGTTCGTCAGTCTCCAATCTGAAAAGTATTCGGTTTCATCTTTATCTCGAAATGACCGCAATTAATCGAAGAGCACGTCCAATCGGCTGTCATTAGCATATTTATAAAGATAATCCTACGAGAGCTTTCGAGGTGATCGCTCGTGAGAAAATCTGGGCGTTCTTCCATCAATTCGGACGCATAATGGCGTTAAACGAATTTAATTGCGGTGCAACGACCTGACAAAGTGTCTTGGACCTCTGCAGCGCCCGTAGGTTTCTCTATTTATAAATGGGCGCATATTGTTCGTCCTACGCATATGACATTTTGAATACACGTGTATCTTTATATACATTTCCAGCGAGCGAGAGAAGAGTGAAAAAGGCGCAGACACCAAAAAGAGAGCGAGCGCCCGTTTTAATATTAATAAGCAACCTGCCTTTGACAGTCAACATACAAAAAGAAAAATAAAACGATTTTGTATTATGAGAATGAAAAGGTCAATCTTCAAAAGCAGGCCAACGGAGAATTTTTCTTGCGTTTTCAAATAAAGACCTGTGAAAAATTGCCGTGCAGCGGCTCGAGTTTCTTTCGCGAACCTGCTGATTCAAAAGACGTGTTCGCGTGGGTGCTCGGTGATTGAAGACGCCTAAATTGAACTGTCAATTACCAAAGGCAGCACATATCATATGTATAATAAGTACAAACCAAGCCGCCACCTAATGAATCAGGTAACAACTTTACAGATCAGAAGTATATTTCCATTTAAAAGATACAGGAAATCTAAAAAAGAAAGTAGAAAAAAACTTGTTCAAAATAAAGTGACGTGATTTCTTCAAAATATTTCTACTAGTTATGGTCACATAATTATCTAAGCTCTGTTAGAATAAAAAAGTTTTTTAATAAAATTTTTCTTGTGCATAATATTTGTTTCTATTCTTAATTTTTATATTTAAATCTAATTGAATTTTCAGAATATTTAATAGTTGTTAACAAATAATTCCATCTTAAATTTAATTTTTTTAAATTTATTTATTTATATTGTCCGAATAATTATATAATCTTGAAGAAATAGTATGAATATTTTTTAAATCCACGAAGATAACTTT